CATTGCACCAGTTGATGCATGTAGTAAGAAATTCCTAAGACATCCCATTTTTAATATAAATAAAGGAACTGACCTATTAGATTCCCTTCAAATTGGTCAGCATATACGAAGTGAAGCAAAAATATGTAGAGAAAATATCTTATTTAGTGTCATATTGGAAACAAACCCAGAGTTCAACCTATATTAAGAATCTGGTGAGTAACATCTTGTGGCTTCTAAAATGAAGTGTCCTCTTCAATAACCATTTGATTTCTGTTAAAGAGCAATTGATGGTTGTATGTGAACTGAAATGGAGAGCAGATAGGACAACCAAGGAATTATTTGAGTGTGGACAGATGTATTGAATATATCAATATGAAGGCACACTGATACAAATTTTAGGATCCAACTGTATCCATCATGGAGGTTGCCTTGAGGCTAAAAAGTTTGAGAACCACTGATCTAGCTGGTGCCAGGTGAGGGCAGTGGGGGCAGGACCCCATCCCACCATGCCTCATTCTTTCCCTGTCTGCCCTCTTCCTGTCCCTGATCTGTACCTAAGGGGGCCAAGTGCTGCCCACACCACCAAAGTTGCTCCTCCAGTCGTGCATACTGGTGACAAGTCATCTGTCTCCATGGCTACTTTCACCAGCCCTGAGTGTGTGGACAAGGAGTGGGGAGCAAGCTGTGCTGAAAAGCTTGGGCTTGTGGTCCCATGTCCAGTCACCCATGGCAGAGCTTGCCACCCAACGTGAAGCAACTGACAGTAGCAGTCTTCAAAGGAGTAGCCACAGGTGTTGCTTGTTCATGGGCGAAGCGCATGCTTACCTCCTCGCACAGGATCCAGGTGCCATGGCACCCATAAAATAATCTTATGGCACTCCAGTTGAGCCTCACTGTATTGGATTGTAATAGCAAGCTCTTGAGTAACAGGTCTCCTTCCCCTCTTAAAAAAGTTAGAAAGTGTGTTTGTCTATATCTTCTCATTTCAGTACCGTATTTTAGTATTGATTTCCCTTAAAGTTGGTACTAGTTCGAATTTTGATAAAGTTTTAAATTGCTCCATGAAACAATATTGGCTGTAATAGTGAAGTACATATAAAGATATTAGATGGATTATTGTCCTTTTTATGAGGATTTATGAAGTTACTGGGATGGCTTGGCAGGTAAAGACTATTTAATAGGTGATAGCTTTAAAAGTCCAAATGATCAGTCAGTCTGTTTCTCTGTCCTGGGAGAATTAGTGGAAAAAAATCTATTTTAATCTTGATTATGAGGACCTACAACCTTTTTTAGGTTGGTGTTTCTGCAGGGCAGAACTAAACTTCACAGCGAGTACATTAACTCACATGCCTCTGTGTTCTACCGATGTACCGATAATATTGGTATCCTGTCAGGTGGCAAAGTAGTCAGAGCCATGATGGCACACCTTGTGCCACTGCTAGTTGTCCCTGGGGAATGCCTGTGCCACCCGCCTCTGGTGTGCTGCATGTTTCCCTGGGCAGGGTAAGGGAGGCTGGGGCCAGCATTGGGGTCCTGAGGGCCTCCTGGGCTGCAGCAGTGGCAATCCTGCCGGTCAGAGCCTGGCCAGTGGCTGGAGCATGGCTCTGGCTGGCCAAGCTCTGGGTTTGGGCAGAGTGTGCTACCCCTGCATACCCGGCTTTGCTTTTTTATGAGCAGGGATTTTTGACCTCTGCATATTCAGGGGTCAAAAAAACCCCTGTGTGCTGCTGCCTTGCAGTGCAGAGAACAGCTGAATGTGCTGCCACAGATGTATCTGCAGTGCCACATATCGCACAGCCACACACATCTGGACACAGCCATAGTGTTTATCATGTATAAAAAATGATCAGTACTGTCAGGGAATAAACTGTAGTCTCAGGCTTCTGAACTGTATTAAAAAGAACGATGGAGTGAACCTCCCCCCCCCCCCCC